TGTCAATGGGTACAGGAAAAAAAAAAGCAGCCTCAACAGAAACCTTCTCTCTCTGGACAAAACAAAAACAGAAGAAGGGCAGCCTAGCAAGACAGAAGATACTTAGATCCAGCCAAACACTGCAGAAAAAACTGTGGCTCCAATCCCATTCTCACCAGTAAAAACCTGATGGAGACTCTAGACTGCTCCTCTTGCCAGGCTGTAACAAAGTGCCCCAAACAGCGCCACCTGCCCCGGTGGTGTCAGAGAAGGTTATATGGGGAGCTGAAACTTTAATTCTGGCTAAGATAAGGCGGTAAGGAGGCTCCTCTGCCTGTCAGTGTCAGTGGAGGCCACATGGGGAGCAGTGATGAGGTACCCTCCCTCTCTCAGCCAGAATGGTGTCATGGAAGGTTAGTGGGCTGACAAGGATTTTAAAGCAGCCATCATAAAAATGCTTCAACTAGCAACTATGAACATACTTGAAACAAATTTTTTTTGGTGAGGAAGATGGTCCCAGAGCTACCATCTGTGCCAGTCTTCCTCTACTTTGTATACAGGACGCTGCTACAGCATGGCTTGATGAGCAGTGTCTAAGTCCCCACTCGGGATCTGAACCTGTGAACCCCAAACTGCTGAAGCAGAGCACGTGAACTTAACCACTACACCATTGGACCAGCCCTGAAACAATTTTTTTAAAAAAGTCTCAATAAAGAAATAGAAAGCTTCAGCAAAAAAATGAAAGATGTGAAGAAAAACCAAATGGAAATTTTAGAACTGAAAATTACAATAACCAAAATAAAAACTCACTAAATTGGCTCAACAGCAGAATGGAGACCACAGAGGAAAGAATCAGTGAACTTGAGGATAGAAAAAACTATATTATTTGTAAATGAATGAATTAATATGATGTTGTGGACTAGAACACCAGTCTAGATGCCTAAAGACTTGGGTTGCAGGTATGGCTTTATCCAATTCGTAGACAAATGTCCTGGCATTATTCTTTTTCAATATTTTTTGCTCTCAGCTTTAAAACAAGGTAGTAAAAACTACCCTAGCAACTCTACCTGGATCCTAAATTCAGTGTTTCTTGCAATTTTACTAATATTTTCATTCATTCATTTATCAAATATTTACTGAGTGCCTAATATATGAGAACTGCTATAGTAGATCTTAAGGCTACAAGGAGAATATGACATAGTCTCTGCTCTCAGGTAGCCAGCCCTGGTGGTCTAGTGGTTAAGATTCGTTGCTCTCTGCCAGGGCTTGTTTCCCCGTCAGGGAACCACACCACCCATCTGTGGGTTCTCATACTGTGGCGGCTGTGTGCTGCTGTGATGCTGAAAGCTATGCCACTGGGATTTCAAATCCAGCAGGGTCACTCATGGTGACAGGTTTCAGTGGAGCTTCCAGACTCAGACAGACTAGGAAGAAGGACCTGGCCACCCAGTTCTGAAAAAATTGGCCGTGAAAACCCTATGAATAGCCGTGGAGCATTGTCTGATATAGTGCCGGAAAGTGAGAGGATGGGGCAAAAAGACCAGGCAGGGTTCCACTCTGCTGTCCACAGGGTCGCTAGGAGTCAGAATTGACTCTACGGCACAAAGAACAACTGCTCTTAGATTATTGTATAATGAAGGAAACGTAAGTAAGTTAATGCAATGTGATAAGTACTATGATAGAGATATGTGCGCTGGGCTTGAGCGCTGCTTGGGAAGAGGTTGGTGATAAAGGTGAAGGACAGCCACAGAAATAGCTGCTGACTGAATTCAAGGAATTGTAAATTTTCTAACTCAGTATAGCTGAATGTGAGAAATTGGATGAGGGGAAATAAACCTGAGTAGGTGAATGAGTTTTGCGTGTCATCTAAAGATATACGGTTTTTATCCCGAACTTTATGGAAAAGTATTAAATGATTTTGAGCACCATTTGATATGCTAATATTTACATTGAGGAAGGACATTCTAGTAGCATAGGAAGATGACTTGAGAAGATGGTGTAAGGCCTAGCGCAAGGAGATTAATTAGGAAGCAGTACTTGTAATGCAGGTTATCAATGAGAGAACCAAACAATTACAGAGACAGACGTAACATATAACTGATGGTAGAGAATGAGGGATCAAATCTAGCTTCGGGTTTCTAAACACTGCACTGGGTAAAAGGTGCTTCCTTTAATGTGGAAAACAGGAGGAGGAGCAAGTTTGCAGTTGGGATGGGGCTGTGGGTTGGATGTGGGCTGAAAATGATTATAGCTTTGGACATATTATTCTTTCCAAGTAGAGATGTCCTGCACGCTATTGGCTGTAAGGGTAAGAAAGGAGATGGGGCTGGAGCTGAAGACGGAGATTGAAACCGTGCGAGTGTATAGATCACCCAGGGAATGTACGTAGAGTGAGCAAAGGGATGGATATAGAGTTTAAGAGATCACAGTAAATTAAAGATTTGGCAAAGAAAGATTCCATGAAAGATATTGTTGGTTCGCAAACTGGCCCCAGTACCTGAAGGGCCAGGAGAGACCAAAGAAAGAGGCAGATCACTCCAGATTAGTAGGTGGCAGGTTTCATAGACAAGGGAACTTATATCCGAGGCATGTCTTCAGCAGCCACAAGACAAGTAGATCTCCATACCCACCCACTAGAATCTTAAAAGTTTATATGGAGGTCTTAACTGGATTAAGTCACAGATTCATTCCAGATGGTCTCAACAACACCTCACTCTGAAGGCTGCGTCCTTGAAACAGTTGCTAGTATGGGAATAGTAGACGGGGTGCACATTCCAAGGACAGGGGAGGAGGTGAGGAGCTTCTGATTGCCCAGGTCCAGCTCATGAGTCAACCAGTGTTCATGTCCTTTTGATGACCTCTTCCAACAGATATTGAGAAAGAGCAAGCAAAGAGGTAGGAGTACAATAAGGCAAACCGTAAAGCGAATCCTCCATGAGTCTTTGGAATTGAGAGGGCCCCTTCTTGGTGAAATGTTATGAGCATAATTAAGTATTGAGCACAAACAGTGGTAGAGAAGTTGTAGATAAAGGGAAGGAGAATAATGATGTCATCAAGAAGTGTTCCAGCAAGTCAATCTTCCATGGGTCTGAAATGTGTGCTTTTCAGAAGCAAAAGCAAAAACAAAAAATTACAAATAAATGTTTTGTGGAAAAATTGTATAAAACATCTTTCCTTGTTTCTGCCACAGAATGTTGAGAAAACTTTGCCTTTTTCTTGGACTGTTAGTTAATTATGGCCACAATGACGCAGCATATCAAGTGACCCTAAAAATCTCTGAATTATAAGATATTCAGCAGTTATTTCCATGTATCTGTAGGCTGTCGTGGGATTAGCTGATCTAGGATGGGCATAACTGGAAACATTGCTCCAAGGCATGTATCTGGCTGGTTGGGCTCCGTGCTTCTTTTGGGTTCTACTCCCACCTGCAAGTATTTGTTCTGGGTGCCAGGCTGAGGAGGAGGCCGCAGTAATGTCCAGAGCTGCTTCTCCTGGAGAAGGTAGAGTGCAGGAGAGCAAGCCTAGTCGTGCAAGTGCCTTCAAGCCTCCGCCTGCATCCTGTCTGCTGATTAGACAAAGCAAATCACATGGATGAGCCCCAAATCAAGGGACGTATCCTCCGCTCATGGAGGTGGGGGCGAGGGGAAAAGACTTAAGTATTTTTGATGGAAGTAGAGGCGAGGGGAAGAAAGAATAGTTTTGAACAAATATCAAATCTATCACACTTGGCAATTCAGGATCGTTATGTTAATGACTTCTTGTGCTGTGCTGTAGTCATATTCAGTGTTATTGAAGTGTGTAGGGTCGTTTGATCCTGATTAAATGATCCCTCCTCTTGCTGCCTTCTGTGTCTGTTATTTCTTAGTGCTGCCACTGTATCTATAGCTGTTCTTAATTCCCTGCTCCATTTCACGCACAGCTCTTTGAGTGAAGACCTGAAGGTGATACTCAGCTATTTAAAAGGACTTCTTCTTGTTGCTTCAATATTTTTTTCCTGTTATTTTGCATCGTTATGATATTTGCTAGTCTGATATGGGGACAAATGGACTATTACTGTACTGTATATTTTTTTTTTTATTTTTCCCCTAAAGCCCCAAGCGATAGTTGTAAGTCATAGTTGCACATTCTTCTAGTTGCTGTATGTGGGACGTGGCCTCAGCATGGCCGGAGAAGCAGTGCGTCTGTGCGCGTCCGGGATCCGAACCCAGGCAACCTGCATCGGAGCGCACGCACTTAACCGCTAAGCCACGGGGCCGGCCCACTGTACTGTATATTTTATTCTAATCCCCTCCTCCTAAAAAAAAAAGGGATGGGGCAAATGTGAAGCTTTTTCTTTGAGAAAAATGAGCTATATTTCCTTAAAAATTATCTCCAGCTATCTATATTTTGTCTTTATTTTCAAAGGAAGGCATTGATCAATTAAGAGATGAAGAGTACTGAATTGCAAAGGCTTTTTTAAATTAAAATTTTATGTGTGTGTCCATTCTTTATTCAAATTATGAAGCATTTCATGTATGCAGAGAAGATTTTATCTATTCTTTATGGAATTGGAGGCATGACATTTAACTGAAACAAAAACATGTATATAGCTCTTTCAAAGAATTGATTTTCCACTGTTTGTCTTTTTACAGCAGGTACCCAAACTGCAGTTATATATGTACCATTTGCCCTTTCAGCCTAAGGCGTCTGTGCTGCACTTATATACAATTCATTTCATTCATGTAAAGTAGATTATTTTGGTACTCTATCCTCTAGTTTCATCCTAAGCAATAAAATCCACAAAGTTGTCACCTTGAATTTTTTTCTAATATACATGAAAATAAATACACGTTTATTAAAATAAAAATGTTACTCTGTACCATCATAAATATGTAGTTTACAACCATCATTACCTGGCATAACATACACAGGGAAACCCTGTTTTAAGGGCAGTTCTGCCAAACTAGAAATATAAGAATATAGTTAAGCAGCATTATATTTTGAAAAAAGTCATTCACTTTTACTTTCCAATTATTTTTCAGGTTTGTGGAAGGAATGCTTAACATTTGTTACAATGCCATTGATCGTCACATTGAAAATGGTGAAGGAGATAAGATTGCTATCATCTATGACAGTCCTGTCACAAACACTAAAACAGCGATTACGTATACAGAAGCCCTGGAGCAGGTAATATTGTCAACTCTCCAAATGTGTGCTGTTTGGAGATCATACAGGAATTACTTAAATAGCATGCATTCCCATTGCGTAACTTTTAATTCACGTAATTCATTGACATGTTACAGTACTTTCTTTTGGTGCACACTGGAAATAGAGGTGTGTTAACTCGTTTAAAGTGTTTTTATCCCTTAGATATTTTACAGTACTGGGAGATACTCCTTTTAGAGCGAGAGGTTAGCAAATCTCTAAGAATATGTTTAAATCCTCTGGCCTTTGCTTTCCTTCCTCATTCCCATCACCTTAGTCCAGCCACTTTTCAGCTCTTGTATTACTGAAGTACAGCCGTTTAACGAGGTCACACATCACTTAACGATGGGGAACATTCTGAGAAGTGTGTTGTTAGGCAATTTCGTTGTTGTGCGAACATCATAGGATATATTTAGACAAACCTAGATGGTATAGCCTACTACACACCTAGGCTATGTGGTACTAATATTATGGGACCACCGTTGTCTGTAGGGTCCATTGTTGATCGAAACATCGTTATGTGGTGCATGACTATAGTCTCCTAACTTGCCCATTACCAGGCTCTGTTCATGTTGGATTGTCACCTAAAGTGACAACAGAATTTTCTTCCTAAGAAACAACTACTTAAACTTTTCCTTAAAAATTACTGTTATTCAGAGAGTAAAATCTGGGCTCCTGTGATGTATAAGACATTTTGGAGTCTGATCACAGCACCCTCCGAGCGACCTTCATTTCCTGACCTTCTTGGCCATGAACACGCCTCCTTTTCACCCTGGGTGACCTGTCATGCCCTCAGGCACTTCTGGTTTTTCACAGCTTTTTGCACATGCTGGTTCCTTTCCCTTATTTGCTTTTTTTTAGTTCTTTCCCTTCTGTGAGGTTCTTAGGTGAATCATGATATTGACAGATGAGTTATGAGATTTTCTTCTTTTAACATTAGGGTAGAAATGAGGTTGCAGAAGTAATTATAAAAGTATTTGGGTATTGTGGGCTGTGGGAGAGTTATCCTTGCTCTTTGGAACTTTTATTTATATAAGATTTAGGGCCGGCCCCGTGGCTTAGCGGTTAAGTGCATGCGCTCCGCTGCTGGCGGCCCGGGTTCGGATCCCGGGTGCACACCGACACACTGCTTCTCCGGCCATGCTGAGGCCGTGTCCCACATACAGCAACTAGAAGGATGTGCAACTATGACATACAACAATCTACTGGGGCTTTGGGGGAAAAAAAAAAGGAAAAAAAAAAGATTTAAAGGGAAATAGTAGTTTGGGGCAGGGTTTCTCAACCTTGACACTACTGACATTTTAAGCCAGAGAATTCTTTGTTGTGGGGTGCTGTTATGTACATTGTAGTTGTTTAGCAGCATTTCTGGTCTCTACGCATTACATACCAGTAGTACCCCTCCCCTAGCTGTGAACCAAAAACGTCTCCAGATGTTGCTAAATGTCCCCTGTGTGCCAAATCGCCACTAGTTGAGAACAACTGGTTGAGCAGTCTCTTGTACTGGGGTTTGGAAGCATTTGCTTTTAAGTTAAGGCTTTTTGAATCACATTCTCTTCTTTTGCTTTTTTGGCCTATTTAGGGTTAAATCCATTAGATTTTTAGAAAGTTTGGTCAACTCTCCCTGACTGTCTGAAATTATATCCTTTTGCATCAACAGTGTTCCTGTTTGGTCTTCTAAGAGATTTCAAGCAAGGCAACTGAGATAAAACAATGAATTCCCAGATCCTAAATTCTTGCAAACAATCGAGAGAGAAAGCTTAAGCCAGTTTTGCTCAGGCTGGGTATCAGTCTGGTTGTGGCAACAAATCCCAGCTTCAGTTAATTTAAATGCAAGAGGAATTTAAGAAAAGGGAGGACTGAAGAACCAGGCTCAGAAAAATGGCACATCCCCAGAGGGAGGGGGTATCAATGAAGAATTAAGGAGAACCCGCAAATTCTCTAGTAACTGGACCTGCTGACTTGAATCATTCTCCTTCTGGATTGACAGAGTAGGAGCATCTAGTTGGCCAAATTTAGGCTACCTGCTTAAAGTACCAGGCAGCTGGGAGGAAATGTCTTGTCCTCTTTTGATTTTATGGAAGGAATTGGGGCCCTGCCTCCCTCTAGGACTCCTGCTAAGGGAATTCCAGTCTAATAAGAAGGGAGGTCGAATGCTGGGCAGCCCAAGACAGAACAAAACAAAATAATGCCGCAAATATACTGTTGGGTATTGGTCTGTAAGTGGGAACTGTGTATTTTCAGAATGAATTACACAGAGACAGAGCTTACATCGGCGCTGGAGAGGGAAGGCACTCAGTCACCAAATGACCTTGTCATTCATCTGAGGCCACGTTTTCTTATAAGAGATAACATAAGTTTCCTAACAACTTGTTCTACTCTGTGCTTTATTTTAGGTTTCCATTTTCAGCTTTTAGATGAGGTTTAGTCTGTGATTAAATACTTGTTCATATGTTTTGGGCATATTGCCACAGTCTTATTTAATTGATATAAAGGCCTAAGAGACTGGTGAATCTTAATTGGTATACAGATTAGGAAGCTTATTTATATATTATATAAATATCGACCATATCAACAAATTGAATTTGATATATAACCAAACATCAGAGTCAAAGAAAAAGCTTTAGAGAAATTTAAAATAAGAAGAGTTAAATAATGGTTGCTGCTATCCTCATTTTCCATTGTTTTTTTTTAGTTATATGACTGTATGTGACAAATACACACACATTTTGTTCAGAAGCTTTTCTGTGAACACATCTTGATTTTCTAATATTGAGCCTAGACTCTTTGACCCTTTTGAGGTTTGTACTGGTTCATTGATTTCAGTTTAGCTTGACATCAAAGTACTTAAAAGGTCTGTTTCTCTCACCTGCTGACAGCGTCTGATTCCCCAGGCTTTTCTTCTCTCAAGTACTAAAGGAAGAACTGTTAGGAAAGAGGGAGGCATTGTGCTCCACTTTGATTACCTGCTCCTGGTTCCCTGTGGCCTTTCTTTTATTAAGTAGAGAAGACAGAGAAAGAAACATTGAATGGGTAATGCCATTGAGAGCAAACAAAAAGAATGCCTTTGTACTTGTTTTAATCTCACCTGTCTCATTTCTGCTGGCAGTTTCTGGCTAGGTAAAACTTGATTAAGTTAGTTGGCGCTTCTTATTTAATTAGTGAACCAACGCTTTTAGGCTAAAGTGTTTCAGGGACATGAAGGATCTGAAGATTTTACAGAATGATTCAGAAGTAGAGCTTTTCTAAAACTGTCGTCTATTATGTGGATCTGATATTTTATTTTATTTTTTTCCCCTTATTCTCCCCAAAGCCTCAGTAGATAGTTGTATGTCATAGTTGCACATCCTTCTAGTTGCTGTATGTGGGACGCCGCCTCAGCATGGCCGGACAAGCGGTGAGCCAGTGTGCACCTGGGATCCGAACCCAGGCCGCCAGTAGCGCAGCGTGCACACTTAACCTCTAAGCCACGGGGCTGGCCCTAAATAGCTCTTTATTAAGATTTTTGTAGAGAGATTTGAGCCTGGTTTAAGATTCATCATTCATTCAACAATTATTTATTTTGCGTGCCAAACCCTGTTAGGAACAAGGAATATAAGGTAAATGGACCCATTCTCTATTTTTAAGGAGCTAATGAAACCATGGAAACATAGTAAAGGTTACTAGGCGGGTGGTGTTATATTCTGTGGAAACACATGGGAAGGCACCCGACTCAGCTGTAGGGCACAGGAAGGCTCTCTGGAAGAATCGGTGCCTAAGATTAGCCCAAATGACCAAAAGTGGGAAGGGAAAAACAGTGGGGAGAAGGAGTGTGCTGCAGACAGAAGGAATAGTACGTGCAAGGCTACTGAGGGAAGAGAGAGTCTAGGAAGAGAGAATCTAGTGCCTCCACGTGGCTTCACATGAAGTGCAGCACAAGGGGGTAGGGAGTTAGGCTCCCATGAGCCAGACTCAGAGGACTCAAAGTGCCACATGGGGATTTGTACTTTACCCTGAGGGCAGTGGGAAGAAAGAACAAAAGCCAGTCCTCCCTGTGACCTGTGGTTCTGCGAGATCTGGCTCCTGTGACCTCCTCCCCAGCCCCACTGCACTGCTGCACACACCCAGCCCACTCCGCCTCTTGCCGTCCACACTCCCGACTTGCTCCACTCCCACCTGAGAGCTTTGTACTCGCCTTCCCTCTGCTCCAAAGCGTTTTTCTTTCGGATATCTTATGGTTCATGGCGCCTGGATGTTTTCTCAGGGAGGTCTTCTCTGGCCGTATTAAATACAAATATTCCCATCTACACAGCTTTAAACTTCTCTTTTCTTTCTTTTTTCAAATTGAGCCATTTATTGCTCAGGACCATTCTTTATATTTTATTTATCTATCTTCTTTAGTGTTGTTTCCTCTGCTTGAATGTAAGTTCCATGAGGGCAGGACTTTTTGTTTTCTTCACAGAACAGTGACTGGTACATAGTAAACACCTGTTGAATGATGAGGAGTGAATGAATGAAATACCATTTGAAATTTCTAAGTGACTCTCACTTCCTTTATTGCAGGAACTTGTCTTTAAATTGCATCACTTATAGAACTTGATCTTCTTTCTGAGTAAATTCTAACTTCTTACTATCTGTAAAGAATTTTAGCTTATTTATATTTGGCTTTGTAGCTCAAGATGGATATTTTCTCCTTGAATTTCCCACACTTACAACTCAGAAGATCTGCATTCCAGGAGACATGTGTGTGTTTTTTGTGTCCCTTTCTTCTTAGCTCTTTTCAAGTTAGTAGTTATATCAAACCTCAGAGAAATAAAGGGGTGTGCGTGAGACTTTATGTTTGTATGTATATGTATATATTATATATAGTGTTTATCATTTTTAGAAATTCCTACATTGAATTTATTTTCTCCATTTCTAATTATATTTTTGATTTACCTCTGTGTGTGGTAAGTTTGTTTGTTTTTTAAACAATTAAGAATTTTTATGTATTTATTTGCTAAATA